CTTATCAAAAAGAAGCCTTCAATAACTGCAAACGTATGGTTTGTAGAAAACACGAAGAGTTTATATTTTTCATGAATGTAAACTCTAACCCGCCTCACTCTGCCACTGCTGTGATGTTCAGACCTTGAAAGATTGCACTTAGCTGGGGAGGGCTCCATTCAGCCCCATGCTTGGTTCTGATTGCAGTCAATGCCAAGCTCTGCTCAGTCCTGTGAAGATTTCAGAGGAAAACAATGAAGCAGCAGGCAGCGCAAAGAACACATTCATCTCATTAATCATCTCCAGTCAGATTGAAAAGCGCCTGTGTAGCCCATGGTCAAGTAAAAGGCTGAAAACCTGTACAGCAACTTTGACTCATTCCCTAGCTTGGCTGTAGTGCAGCATCATCTTAATTTGTGTGCCCTACCTTCTGTTTCACTCCAGAATTCTTTTATAAGTAGGCCTCACAAGGGTAAGCAAAGGGCATTATGATCAAGACTACTCATTAGTTCATCTATAAATCAGGCATTCCTTGCCATGGTAAATTATGCATGAAAAATCAAAATTTACAGCCAGATACACACATTTTTCGTGAATGTGCAGCAGAAAACAAAGAAAACGCCTATCATCTCATATGTCTGCTCTGTCCATATTTCTGTCTCATATGCAACTAACAAGGATATAGCAATGAATAATATTGCAGAATCAGCATCCTTCAAGGTGTATCAGATTAAACACAAACTCATGCATTAAATGATAATATGAATATCTAGCAATTTACTAAAATGTGCCAATGTACAGGTAGTACAACGTCTCATTAAGATCGTGAATCCAAATTATGGTTGACAATCCTTTATTTAGACTCAGTTGTTTGCGTTAAGTTCAAATTAGGTAGTTGTTTGTCCCTGACAGGACTCATTATTCACCCTGTGATATCAGGCAAAAATATAATGAATTTTGATTTGTCCATTTAGATTTCTCAATTCAAGGCAATCTCTAAAAATTATAATATCTGAAAAACATGTCTTCACCCGCACAAGGAAGGAACCCTCATTTTGGTTGAAATGATAAATGTACAATTGAAAGTACTATACATTCACACTCTTTGGTCTTGGTACTGTGGAAAACATTGAACTGAAATACAGTAGTATTAGTACAGTACTTGACAAAATGTCACTGCAGCAAAAGATATTACTTACTGAATACCCGACCTTCAATTATGTGTGACCGTATTGTGCCGAACACCAGAAACACCGGAAGAGATCTTACATGTATGTTTCCTGTATGAATCTCTTTGCCCCTTGACTTAGAAGCTATACAGATACACAGAGCATATCTCAATTTTGTTCATTAATTTATACAGCCACAGTATTTACTTGCTGCAAGGCATGGATTTACTACTGTGGCGTGTTTCATTCATAAGAGAATACAGCATATTAATTTAGTCCTTTATCCTCTCAGTTAAACCAGACTACCACTGGAGAACAGGACATCCGAATCACACTTTACTTTGCCTTTAGAATTTGAAACATACAGTTTCATTTTCACATGCTGTTAAAACATGCATAGTTAAAAATTTATACATGCATTTTTAAGAGACCTGTAATGCTGACCTGTTTAAAAACAAGAAAAAGCAGAACAAAACTGATGTCAGTTGGTGTAGAGGAAACACTCCCACCCCTCATTTTCAGTCCTGAGTTCTGGCCAGGAAAAGGCTTTATAAGCCTCAATCAGGAGGACTCGCAAGGATAAGAACTTGGACACCAGAGATGGACTCTACAGAGGGCAGCGAAGCAAGGCTCATACATTGTCTTCCCTTCTCCATTATTGGACACGAAAAAAAACAGGATAGGAAGGAGGAAGCATATGGGACTGCATTACCTGGGCTGGCACCTTTATATTTGCCAGGTGGCAGAGCTGCAATGTGGCATCCCCACATACCTGTGACACATAACCAATCATACTTTGGTTAAGAAATGCCCCAGCTAAAATCTTTTTAAAAAGTACATACTGTACAGAAGTGTATTACTGAATTTAAGAATGTACCAAAATAAATCTCTCACTACATACATTTCATTTTCTCCTTAAAGAACCAGCCTATTTCTGTCAGTTTCTCAGACCTGGGTGGTTTAGACCACAGTTTGAGATGCAGTTTTAATCAAATGAACAAAACTCTTTTCTGAACCTGAGAAAAAAATCTATTTTTTTCTCGCCTTTTCCATTTGGTGTAGGGCCAAGATTTAACAGCCAGCAATTCAGACCTCAACTGCAAAGCACGCCTATTGATCAATCTGAGAAACTAGTACTCACAGCATGATACCAACAAATCACGCCAGTTTATCCTCCATACCTCCTACTAAGACACAAGAAAGTCTTGGAATGAATTACACAAACAAAAAGGCAAGCTTCATTAGGTGTGAGTTTGGGTACCATAAAATACAGAAGAAAGATCTGGGGTAGTGAGTTAAATTGTCGCACCAGGAGCACAAACTTTGATGGTTTCAATGATGAACTGAGAGATTGCTCAGAGAAACCTCCAGTTTGCAAACAAGATGAGTCCAAGAATAGCAGTGATTTTTGTATTTTCTTGAATACAAAAATTTCCAAAATCCTTACTGATATCCGGTTAAATCAGTAACACTAGATCATCTTCATCTGATCCTCATTTTTACCATGTTGGAGTCATCATTCTGGCAGACAGGGTTGATTAATGGGCCCCACTCCTGGTCTAAGTTAGTAGGGTAGCCGAGCAGAACTTTCAAACTGCTTAGATCAAAAGTACGTTGGAAATATCTGTTAATATCTCCTCTGATCCCTCTGCATGTTCTGCATGGAAAATACCAAATGATGCCTTCAAACACACATTTTAGAATCCCTCAATGTAGACTTGACAAAATGAGGAATTCTTTAATCCCAGATTCAGGCAATTCAATCAATAAATGAGTATTGCTTCTGGGCAAGTGCAGTCAGTGTTTATGTGCAAAACTAAGTGGTAATGTGCAATTATACTTAAGGTGATTGTGATGGGAGTAAACCTACAGATGATCTGTGTGGATTCCTGTAGGAGTGATGTATAATGACTATATTTTGGTTTATGTCTTTGGTATATGTCTATAATATTATATTTATGTGCAATGCAATGCTTATTTGTACTGTTTATACATCTCTGCCATAGCTGCTTGGATGCAACACAAATTACTGAGAAATCAGACAATTATGTATTATTGTATCATAAGGAAAAGGAATAAACAAATAAAAAAATATCACCTCTGTCAATTTTTTTTTTGAATTTGCTTAGTGCTTCAGAAAAAATGATGACTCTCCACAAAGTGCCAGTGAGAAGACAGGTGGAATGTGAAACAAGACTTGGATTCTAGCCATGATGCTCTCCTGGCCGAAAGAAGAAGTGGGATTTGGAGAGAGGCGGATTATTTCAGGGACTTAAGGAATGAATGTAAAACATCCAGGAACATCATGAGTGTCACCAGCCTTGTGAAAAACCTACTGTCCTCTTAATCCAATGCCTTTCAAAGCAAACAAGTCAGCACAATGATTACAAACCTCCTTTGCCCACATACTGGAATATATTAGTGTGTTTACAGCTTGTGCGCTTTAGTCAGCAATACAAGGAGCATCATTTTTCATTGGGAACATAATAATCAATATTTCAGTCTGACAAAGCCACAATCCAGCTTACACTAAGCCTTCGTTGCAAATCATCCTGCATTATGATGGACTACTAAATCATTGCTGTAATAAAAAATATATTTCACTTCAGTAACAAAAGAAATCAATTCTAAATCATGAAAAGTATACATTTATATCTAACCCTAAATGTCTGGATTTCTCCAAAAGGTTCTGAAAACTGTCACTATATATCTATTTTTTGCACAACTGTCAGTTAATATTCTGCTATTTACAATCTTAAAAAAGGACAAAAATAAGAATAAGATTTTATTAGTTGAAATTCATAGATTTCTCCAGTTACTGATTTGTATAAAATAACAATATTATCTATTACATTTATATATCTATTACACAATTAGCTATTTTTATCCTTACATGTAGGAATCAGGGAAAGATAGCTTTTTCAGTCCATAAATATGCAGACAATGTGACTACTTTCAAAACTTTTCATCTTTTCTGCTTCCCAAAATAGCTGACACTTCATCTATTTAAAAACTGTTAAACTTGCTTTTGTAGTATATATTGCACACAATAAGTGTTTTCCTTAAATATTCCAGAGAGACATTTTAAGAGAATCAATATGACTTTGAAATGTAGCCTCCTGTTTGCAGTTCTCAGGAGAGGGTATTAGGATTTTTGAGGCTAGTCAAAGCTGATGTGTCTGTTCATAATTGGCATCCCACTTGTGTGAATTCACACAGACACACAAAACGTTTATTTTACTTCTTTGAGGCTTATTTAACTTATACCAGTATGTCCTTGCTCAAGCTGCTAAAAGTGATTCTCAATTATTTATCAGTATTTTACCTGAATGTTCTCACTTGCTTTAGAGTTGTTTAATTCATTCTTCTGCTTTAGTTCAGGGATTCTGATAAGTATCTTTCTAGATAGTGTTTCATATTGGAATTATTTCCTTTAGGGACTGAAAAAACAGGCTCTGACAGATGTTTTGAAAACCCGGCGATAAAAAAATAAATATGGAACATCTCCCAGTCTTAAAAGCTTTCTTTTTATTCAGATACACTAGCTGACATAGAGGCATAGACTGGTGGATAGAGGCAGCAAGTTACTCTAAACAAAGTATTGTAGTGTTGTCTCTGCTTATTCCCTGGCACTGATTTCAGCTGTCATGTCATGCCTTCAAAAAATTATATGAGGTACAATAAAGACAGGAAAATATGGAATATATTCAGTACACAATAGCACATTCAGGCTGATATATTTGGAAAATTGCTGTACTGTACATGAATTTACATCTTGCATTAACCCCAGATAGATGCCAACGGAGCTGGATTATAACAAATGCGTGCTTGATTACATTTCCATATACTCACTGGTTCAGTTCCACATCTAAGATGAATGTTGACCCAAAAGCGTCCACCTGGAAGCTTGCTTGTGCCACATGTGTTGACTGTAAATGCAGACAGAGTAAAAAATGAGTTGATATTTTTTTCCAAGTATTTGACATCTACTACTTCAACATTTGCTAAAAGTGGACGTTGCTCAATACAGTGCACATTTTGTACTATGACCAGTCTGACTACAAAAAATACAATTTCTCTCAATTCTATTCTCAATCTTAAGCACATAACATGTAATTCCATTTGTAATAGAATAACCACTTCTCAAGATGAATTATTAAGGTTTTCACATTAGAAAGCTGCAGCTTACTGTATACAGTACATCATTTCATGGCTTGTTTTTTTTATAAAGATGAGAAACAAGAACAACTACGCATTTGGCAGACTCTAAAATAGGTAACCCAGATACTTTTTTTCTAGCTACAAATTCCAAAAGTGCTCAGGTCTACACGTCAGTAGGCATCTTTCAATACATCACATTCTTACAATGAAATCTCTATCCTAGTAGTTCATTTCCATACCTCTGTTGTCTCACACAAGAACAATGTAGTGTTCTGCAGATGTACAGAATTAATAGCTTCTGGAGCTGGGTAATAAATGGAAGATTGAATGTTTGACAGTGATGATTATACTACTTGCCATACAAAACAGAACTATCTCATTATCTGATGCAAAAGGCTATTTACAGTAAGTCTGTGTACTGTTCAGTTAAAGGATTGTTGTTTTCTCTGGTAGATGTTTTAGCGCTTTAGGGTTCTGGGTTCAGTTCCGGACTAGAACACCTTCTGTGTGGATTTTGCATGATTTACCCATGTCCTCGTCTCCGGGAGCTCCAGTTTCCTCTCAATGTCCACAGATATTCTGGCTGGGTTAGTTGTTGTCCCTATATTGTCTTTTTGTGCCCTATGACAGACTGGCATCCTATCCAGAGTGTCTTCCCGCTTTGTGCCTTATGCTTCTGGGAAATATGCAGGTTGCTGTGTCCCTTACCAGGAATGAGCAGCTCATGGATAATGCACAGATGGATTGTTGGATCGTATAACAATTCCAAGTGCTTAAGGGCACACTTTGTGTTTCCAGGAGGCACGGTACAAACGCAGATGTGTTGGCTCTCATTAGATTAATATAAAATGCGATAGATACAAAAGCGTTAAAGCATAAAACTGAAATTTTAACTAAATGTAAAAATGAGATTATATATAAGATCTCCAAATTTCAAAACAATGTGCAGTCATCTTCCTTTTGTAGTCTACGCCTGGCAGAATTTCAAAGAAGACATCAAAGGAGGATTACTGTGATTCATATGCATATATGGAAGCTTTAATTTTTTGGAATTCTTTCTTTAATTGGTTCCAAATCAAGGTTTAATTAGCAGCACTGGAGACAGCCTAAATTGATCTAAATTAATGAAGTCATTTTACACCAGAAAGTGTGAAATATTGGTTTGAATTTTAGATTTACAGTGTTCCATTGTATTGTGTACAAATACTGAGAGTTCACCTTTAATACACTGAAAATAGAGTTAACTTTTCATCTTTAATGCAATAAATATCAACATTTCTTGCTGCAGTTATATACAGTATACATCTATAGAGCCTTATATACATTCTCAATATATTTGGTATTTGCTATACAATAACCTTATTATCACTGGTCTGAGTACATTTATATTTAGAACATAAAAATATTACCAACAAGAGATGACCATTTAGTCCATCTAATGTATTTTGATAGTATTAGCTATTTGTTTCTAGAATCTCTTTCAGACATTTATTGAAGAAGCCAAGAGTATCAATTTCAACAACATATCTGAGAGCTGGTACCAGAAATACAGCAATTTTAAAGTTATAAATTAAAACTATTTAATTTGAATGTATGTAATTCTAATTTGCTCATGAAAGACTCCATATTAACATAAAACTATGTCTGGCTATTTGATAGTATAAGAAAATTGAAAAAATTAAACAAAGTCCATCATACATGAAAATACATAAAAAAGGTTGTTTTTTTACTTATACTTATTTATATACTTATTGCCCTATTGGATTAGGTCTCAAGCATCCACAATGTCAATAATTTAGATTATACTGCAAGTTTCAGGGATCTAATTCCAGACTAAGTGAGCTCCTCTTTGAATCCTAAAAAATGTCAGCAAGACAAGAAGGGCATAAAAAGTCATCCTGCCTGTGACTGTTTGATTAACCTGGTTTGTGCGGAAGATCACTCTGCCTGCAAGCAGTCATTGTATGGTTGAAAGCTGAAGAAGAGCTGTCATTAAGCTTCTAGTCTTTCTATTAAAGCATCACATATTTACGGCTCATTTTTCACCAAATAAGCCTAAGCCATTACCAAGCAGTGAGCTATATAACTTCTTTCTTAGCTTAGGCCAATACGACACACCCCAGCCTTTTTCGTGGATAGATTGTACACATTCAGGAGTCTCTTGGACAAACTCCCTTGTTACACAACCATCCGTAAAACAATTCAATAATTCAAATGTTCCTGTAGATACAATCAGATAGTTTTCAATTTTTTAATTGACTGACAAATGCTAATTACTTTTTTACAAATCCCAAAGCACTGTGCCCAATACATTAAATAATTAAATTAATTAAAACTACCTTGAAGGAACAGTTGTTAATGGATCTGAAGCCATAGTGAGACCTCAAGCTGAAATATCGTTAAGCAGTGCCCATTAATACAGTAGATTTTTAAGCCTTAAGAGTATTCTATTTTATTCTGTAACACGAAGCATTGCATCCTGGTCAACAAGTTGTCCAGCTGCAGATTTTGCACTGATAACCTTCCAATTTCTTCTGTCTAGACTGAATCCTCTCAAACATCCATTATCCACAATTAGCTTGATCAACACTACGAGAATTCCAATAGTCTCCAGATCATGAAATCCAATTTCTTGCCACACATACAGTACACAGATGCCTACCATTTTAAAGGGAGGCCCACCATGTTCTTTGTTTTATTTTAGATTCTATTACGTAAATACAGAAAAGGGTGACCTAAGGAAAGGGTGCAACATTTGACCTAATGAAAAGCAAAAGATCACTTATACAGTACATTGCTAAGGCCAGCATCAGCTTTCCTTGTCTGCAGTTCTTCTGTCCTAGTGAGGGCATGTATAAAGGCACTGCTTGGACAAAGGTAAGAAAATCAACCATTAGGTGCACTACATATATCTTAGTACATACAATAGAGGTGAGACAATTAAAAGATTATGAAGCTCTACCTTTCTTTCCACCTTGGCACAGAAGGTAGATACCCCCCAAAAAACTGCAACAATTCATCCAAGTCACTGTTCTTCAAAAGGAAAATATTCACCTCCATGCAAACACTCATCAGTTCAGAGCAGGTAGCTGCTTAGGAAAAGATGCAGCTCTGTCTCTCACTGCCATTAGCTTAGAAAAAGAAAGCAAAAGACTTCACAGTTCTGAGGTGGCGATTCCACTGTACATACAGCACGTTAATCCTAATGAACACTTACAATTGCAAATGAATAAGTCATTTAAAAACACAGACACACACAAATCAGGCTATCATGCCGAAGTATACCTCTTTACCAAATCTTTACTTTCCAATGTATAAAAAAGGAAGAAATTAATTTTATCAACATGTTTGCATGTGTAACTGATCTGTTTGTATATCAAATCGAGGTGTTTTTAGCAACTGCAATCTCCTTGATATCAAGACAGCTGTTTTTCACCTCCACACAATTTAACTTAACTTTTATATCTATGGAAATATACAATATATACAAGTTTTTTAAGAGTCTTACGTATTTGCCATACAAATGATTAGGGGAAACAGAAGTACAGTATAAAGTTTCAACAATGTGTTTCAAGGCGCTGTTTTCTTTTATCAATGTCATAGTCCCAGACACTAATCAGCTGTTTTTTATTTATTTCTTTACTTGGTTTTAAAGCATTAAACGTAGTTAATGTTACACACAATTCCTTTTCGGAAATTCAAAAATGAAATGAATATTTCTGTGATGTCGCATTAAAAGGCAACCATAAATATTAACGATGTATTTTTTTTAAAAAAAAACAATACAGTGGTCTTGCTACAGCGTCTCCTAAAGGCTACTGATTTTGTAATATTGTATTGCAATTTCTAGGACTGCATTGCTACCGGCTTTTATTTTACAACTTTTTACTCGGCGACAAGATCGTTTTTTTTAAAAGTTCTATTTCATAACGGAACAATATGGATAAAAGGTTAAGCTGTACTGAAAACGTTTTCATTTTCACTCACAAGGAACACAGGAATGCAAAAGGTTTCTATTTCTAATTTCTATGGAAAACGTGAACTACGTTATTTGTTGAAATTAATTCTTTTGTTATGTAAAATTTTATTATACGCTGTATGCAAAGTGAATGTTTTTGGGGAAAAAAGGAACATGAACTTGATAGAAATATACATGGAAAATAAAAAATACAGAGCTGTGGATACAATTTTTTTCTGCTGTTGTATCTACTATTTGTTTACATTTAAAAGCTAAAATTAAATGATTACATCGCTTTATTCTATTGCAGATTGAGCACCCTTGCCGTACACATACAGTATTCAAAAACGGTAAAAAAAGCCCTTTTTCCGTGATATTCAATGCTGCTTACTCTTTCGTTATTTCTAGTATTACACTTGGTAAATATATTAATTCAACCATCATGAAACCGCTATTTGGATAACGAGTGAGAAATATAAATCTGTTTTTGTTTTGAAAAAACCCTTGTTGGTATGTAGGAGTGGGTTGTTTTTATGTGAATTTTAAACTAACGCCACACAATAGCGTCACACCGGCGCTGCACGGTTTTTAATAACGGGAACTGAAGACATGACCAACGTTTGTATGGTAAAACGTTTCCAAGGGCAACAGGCAGCTGAAGTCCTCCGTTATCTAATTTCTCTCAATTCAAACACCACAGAGTTCTTGAGAATAAATGTACTGTACCTGTTTAATGTCTGAACTTGTTTTTATCCTGGTATTCAGTACGTGGTGAGTGGCTTGGCTGTCGTTGTTCATGCGGTAAATTAATCGGAGCGGTACGGTATTCTCCTTTACGAGGAACCTGCTATCATTCCGACCAGCCTTCCCATTTAATAAGGCATCTCCTTAATAAAAGAAGAAGAAGAAAAAAACAATTATCGTAATCTGCAACCTCGTAGGCACATCGGCACTGCACATACACATATTGTACAGAAACAATATAAAAAGATGTTAGAAGAAATAGAGTACTGTACATAACCTTCCCATATTTTTAGAAAAGGCAATGATTTAACAACAGAAGGCATTTCTTTCATAAACATGCGAATTTTAAAGTTGTTTACAACGGAAATTCAGTTTCGACTATTTCCAACTGGACAAAAAAGGGCCACACTGTTATTTTCCCACCCTACACACCTATCACGCCAGTCAATTTGTTTTACAATTTTTACTGACCATAACATTTCCACCATATTTAACAACGTAAAAATAAATGCAGGTTACCTATTCGTCTGGTGGGATTGCTGGAATGGACAAGGTACATTGCTCCACAGATGAACAGAAAATAAATCCTACAGTGAGGAAACATCATAATACGACTTTCTTCAGACGATAATCCAAAAAAAGATTTCGGGGTTTTCCTTTGTTTTAAAGCAAAATCTGAGCAAAACACATCCGCGACCGCTCTCTGGTTGTCTGGTTAATAGCGCATTCCCTCTTGCTGGTTGCCATTAGGATGTTCATTGCAGCCTCTGCATTGGGATGCTGGTTAAAACGCCAAGTGCATTTGAACGCTTTTCAGCCTCAGCGAAACACAGAGCCACCTCCTTAAAAAACACCAATATCCAGCTCACTGCAGAAGCGCCTTATACATATACATGAAGCAGGATCACAGGGACCGAAAAGGATTGCCGGGAGCTGTAGTGTGTAACACCACAAAACAAATGACGATAAAAAAAAATCAGTTAGAAAATACAAAACCTCTTTTCATAAAGGTTGTTGCAGACCGCAACATAAAAAACGAGCATGAGAACCTAAATTTACTTCTTCTGAACACATTTTCTGAATTATTCGGATTGATCGCTACGTAATTAATGACTTACAGTTTGTAGTCTTCATTTTATACTGTGGTTTTAAAATTAATTCTACGTACTTATACGAGACGAAAACTTTTTTTTTTATTCAGAAACAAATTAAATACGAATGGCAAAATAGAAAGCGACAAGAGGGCATTCAGCCTGTCTAGCTGTTGGGTTGTGAGTTGGTGATTCATGAACAATAATCTCTTCATAAAAATATAAATATAAATGTAAAGGGGTTTATGTGCTTTTAAGTTAATCGAGGAGAAACGAATAATTTCGAACCCGTTTATGTGAAATAAGTGTAACCCTAGTTGACTTAGCAGAATTCATTTGGTAATTAGAATCAGGTAGTTAATCCTTGGCATGTTAGTGCAGTGGTAAGCATACTGTTTTGCAGATATAGGGCCCTGCGTTCAATTCCTGGGGTGCTCTCTGTGTTTTTGCCGTGTTCACCTGGGTGTCCAGTTTCCTCCCACAGCCCAAAGACTTACTTGTAAGCTCCTGAGACAAGTGTCCCCTGAGTGAGTTGGTGTGTGCTTGTCTCCCATCTAGGGTATGTCCTGCATTGTGCCTGTTGCTTACCGGGATAGACTCTGGCTGCCCTCCGACCCTGCATTGGATAAAGCAGTAAGAAGATGGATGAAAGGATGGATAAATAACTGGGGAATAAGTAAATAAGTGGTTGGGAAAGTCCTGTTCAAAATAATGGTCAGACCCTATGTGATTCAGGTCTTCATCATACAGACATACAGGTTAGTAAATACATGTCTTACCACAATTAAAATAATTCTCAGGAGAAGAGTAGTTGATGCTCATTAGTCTGGATAGAGCTGATCACGATGAATCTACCCAAAAACAGTCATCCTGCCAGGATCTCCCCAAGAGCAACCTGGAAAATCACAAAGAACCCAAGAGTCACATCAAAGGATCCACAGACCTCTATTGCTGCAACGCTAGTGTACATTTCTCAACCATCAGGAAAAACAAGATGAAATTAAATGGGTTTCATCTGAGGGCAGACAGGAAGAAACAATTGCTCTCCAAAAAGAACATATCTGTTACACTCAAGTTCACCAAAGAGCACCTAGACAATACACAAGACCACTGGAAGAATATTCTCTGGACAAAAGTTAAAGTTTGAAATTTTGATATGTTTTGTGTGGTGAAAATCAAGTACTGGTTTCCTACAGTGGAAGCTCTCAATGATTATAAAACAAGATGGTTTATCTGCAAATCTGGAGGAGAAAAGTGGATCATGCAGCAAGACAATGACCCTAAACATGCAATCAGATCTACAACAGAATGGTAGAGGAAGAAATTTTGAACTGTGAATTAGTTAAGTCAAAGATGGACCTGAACCCCTCTGAAATGTTATGGCAGGATGTGAAACAAGCTGTTCATGTCAGGAAACCCTCAAATGTCATAGACGAACTTACTGATGAACTGTCACAAGAAAAGTGTAGTTGAAGTCATTGCCATCCAAGGAGGTGCCACCAGTTACTGAAAGTAAGATAAGATCAATTTATTGGCCATATACAATTTCTTGTATTAGGAATTTCTCTTTTCACATACCCCAGCTTGCTCTCCATGAGACACACAGACAGGGAGAGAAGTTTGGGGTCAGAGCGCAGGGTCAGCCATTTATACAGCACCCCTGGAGCAGCTGGGGTTAAGGGCCTTGCTCAGGGCCCAACAAAGCAGGATTCCTCTGCCAGTCACGGGATACAAACCGACAACCTTCCAGCCACAGGCGCAGATCCTTAGCCACAGAGCGGCCCGGCACTCACCAATGCTTTTAATCCCAGAAAGAACCCAGGAGTTTCAGTGGCGAAGTACATGGCCCAATAGGGACTGTCAGTTTATATGGAGTCACCGCACCACTCAGTAAGTCAGTAAGGGTTCACATACTTATTTACATAAAGATGTTTACTGTTGGACCATTTAATTTAAATAATCCAATTACATCTTACGTCTTTCTGTTATACATTGAATCGGTTAATCTTCAAGTTTTATTGAAGTTGAAAATTTATTACGTTCTAAATCTAAAATATCCAAGAATACTGACTAACCTAGGGCCATTTTAACCATGCTGCAGGAATGACTCGGAGAACCAGACGCAATCATGGGAATCACCATAATGGGAAGTAGCTAAGGCATTCAAGGCCCATCTCTCCACTAACTCGAAGGCCTCGGCAGCAGTAGTGAGGAACAGGAAGCATCCATGTTGGACGAAGACTCAAGAACTGGAACCAAAGACCCACCAAGAGTGAGTGCCTCTGTGAGTTTTCGTAAGGCATACGGTATCAAGGCTCTGCAAAATGATTGCAATGAATAGACTGTTTTTGTATCCAAGAAACTATTGCAGCACACCATGGAAAAAAGAGAAGAAAGCTTGAAAGAGACTGATGAATACAGTGATGTGCTGAAATTAGCCCTGTTACAAGGGTTGTAGTTATGGATGCTTTTTTAAATAACTAAAAAAAGAAGAAACAAGCTCATACCATTGGACTAAGAAAGAGAATTTCTCTCAGATGAACAGATTTAAGGCTAACAAACAAGCTTACTTTGCCACCAGTCCACTGTGACCTCTGCAGAAACTGCGGCAAGGGGCACAGCTGCAGCACTGTAATAAATAATTTTCAGTCGTGATTTAATAAACCACGGCAATCAGACTTGCAGCTATTCCAGAATTGTGCAACAACAAGCACATCATTGGATAAATTTGTAATTATGAGGATCCAAATAACAATTAAGGTACCGGCAAGTACTGCAATGCACTCTGGGAGGGCAGCATGTTGAGCAGGTCTTCTATACACAGCTCAACTTCTGACATTAGCTTTTTACTAAGAGTTAAATTTTTTTAAAAGCATGTACTGTGCTGCATACTGTGTGATGTGTGACGTGTTACAGTTTGTTCCTCAGGTTTTTTTCAGTGATTTCATATCGGCCAATCTTCTACACTGATTTTGCCCTTGGAAAACACAATACGCCCTGCAGCACGGGTCTGAACACCAGCATATCAGGAATCCCTTTTCCCCAGCAGACCAATTACTGGAGACCACCTCTAGTTTGTCTGTGGTTCTCTCGCCGCTAGTCCGTTTGGAGAGGGCGTGGGGGCTCCTCCAGCAGCCAGCCAGTCAGAATACAAGATAGACGTAGTCCCTTTAAAAGCTCATTGAAATTAGTATCTATGATGCAATCATGCAACATGAGATCAAAAACAGTCAAATAAAATGTGGCTGGTTCTGGCTGGTGAAGCTTAAAATGAATTAGATAGCATGCAAAAAGATAATAATTTAGAGCCATATCAACGGTTAAAAAAATGAAAGGCAAAAGCTGGGTCATAAAACAACATTTAAAGTATTGTAATCAATGCTTTTTCTTTCAGGGTGTTTGAGTCTTCATTACCAATTCTGTTTGTTCACTGATGCCCTGTTAGTGGGTCTTTGCCTCTCTCTAATGGCTGCATTGAAGTTGCAGCTCATCTCCTGGAGTGTAATTAATGATGTCATCGCTTGCAGTGACATTTTCCATTTTCCCTCATCTGCATCTGTTTGAAGTAGTAATGTAAAAGCAAAAAGCTATGTGGACAGTGCTGTGAGGTGTTTAAATAATTTATGTGGCAACGTTAGTAAAAGCAAAGTCTCCACCTTGCCACAAAAGACACCTGCCTACTAGTTACATTGCATTTCTTTAAACCAGTTTCACTTTATTTTTAAAGTGACAGGCAGTTTAGGTGTTTTATAGTGAAATAAGGTTAAATGATTACATTTAGAATCTAATATATGATCACAAATACAAATCAGAACAAAAAAGGAAGACAAGTAATCAGGGAAGTGGTCTATTTGAACACACTTTGTAAATAAAAATGCCTCAGACCAGGATGAGATGGTTCTTGGAGCTGAACAAAGTAACCCAGAGTAATCCAGCTGTACTATTAGCACATATACACATGGAAAAAAGACATTAAGTTTCAAGGGGATATTGGAATCCTCCTAGAGTAGCTATCACAGAGCATTCTCCACACCTCTACAAATGGGAGCCAGTCACACCTTGAATAAATGTGAGTCAATCAAAAATCTGATTATAATGGATTGGTCTATGTGCCTCGTTTTTATAAGGAAAATAAATACCAAATTTGCTACCACTCAGGAATTACATACTACAGGCTTTCAAATTCTATCTTATAAAAGAGACGGAAGAGGAGAGAGGAGAGAAGAGAAAGAAGTGGCAGGGGAAAGTGACAAGGAGAGCAGTTATATATGGATGAGACAGACCCCCTCAAGATTTGAATGGTGAAGGGACGGGAAGATAGGGCAGCTTCTCATGGCAACCTGCAGACGCAAACGATTGAGTACCTGTTACATGAAGCAAACAGGCTTCCTTTCAGATCCTGAATTTCGAGCATTTGTTATCATCAAACACCAGGAGCACAAGTTGTTGCGAGGTAAAAGGGTGATCCAGTAAAAAAAATCTCAGAACGATGAGCACTTGTGAAAGTTCGGTGTAGTGCCAACAAAGTCTTTGACGTGTTTTCCAAAAGGTTAAGCAAGTTTGTTAAAGAGACCAGTCGAATAGAAACAGTCCTGCTATTAGTGGCAGAAAACAAAAGACCCTGAAGACTGATTGATATAATTAACTGGTTTTGCTAATGCTTTCTCTATAGCACACCGAAAGACTGATGTACCAGGATCCTTTCACAACCTCATCCTGAAGACTCTTAACTGAAAGGCCTAGAGTGTTGATATTGGCTGTAAGTATTTATACTACTATTGTACAGTACATCCTAGCAGGGAAGTAACACTGACAGTACTTAACTTGGCCATAGCTTACATGAGTGTAATACTCTGTAAAATGGTAGTCTACTATTCTTTCACACTGGTCTTTTTTGTATATATTCAATTAAGCTGTTTCAACTGCTGAGCAGATTTATAACAAAATGCTCTGATTAATGGCAATCTGTGTATCACCAAAACTACCCATCTCATTTGTGTCATGTATGAAGTGTACATCATAATACAAGAAATGACAAACAAAAAGGTAAGGATAGATAAGCTATTGTCCTAGAGGCATGATATTTATATTTAACAAGCAATTAAACATACATTTAGATACACAAGGTTTTAATTTACAATACATATGTACACACCAGAAAGAAATTAAAAATAACATTAAGTACAATTTATATATACAAACACCTTTTCATTTAAAATAAATTGCTACTCCACACTTCAATGGACTTGGTAAAAGTATCAGTCTTTCCAAATACCACAAATAAATTCAAGATCAATAAGCAGAATGCAGAATGCTTAAGCAGAATGTGGCCAATATTTTATGTAAACCCCAAAAATGCAATGTTAGTATTGTAAACATAGTAAAACTTTTAGGTGATGTTTATTATTCCACCCGAATCCTTTCTAACATGTCTCTTAAAAACAAAGCCATTACATATTTGTTGAAATTTCAATGGAATGTTTAATTACATTTCTGAGGCAAACCAAAGCTAGTTTGGCTTTAATATGCTCTTAAAGACATTTTAAAATGAACTACTGAGAAGTAATATTATAGTTTAGACCCAACAATTACTATAAGTGTGAATTGTGTACTTAAAATAAAAAAACGAAAAACATAAAGAACTCCAAGTCGATTGATGAAATAGCAAAAATGGCTGAGCTGAATGGCCCAGCACCAGATGCGTCAGCCACTGCAATCTGGAAACCCTAGAAATTCCCAGTCCACGTTTTCACTCGATTGAAAGAGCTGCCACAAATTGTGCAAAGGTGGACTCAACTCCACGTCATTTTGTTTACTGTGTTTTTGAAGAGTTTCTCTCTCACTCGCTCTTCTAGTTCTTCTGAATGGTTTTACTTTCCTCTGTAATTTCCCAACAGGTGAAGAGTGTGTTCTGCTTAGATAGTGATCTGTGTTATCTGCACCTTTGTCTGGAATAATCAAATTATTCAAATTTGAATTACAAAATAATTCAGATTCCACAGACTCTGGGACATCAAGCTGAGAAGAAGCAATCTTCTGACTTTTAGCTGGAATTCCAAGCAGGTTATCCTCCGTCTGGCTTTGCCCAAGAGTGCTTTCTCCAATAGTTCTTTTGCCAGTCTTCTGCCCAACACCGTTCCCTAGATTCAGTTCAATGGTACAAACACTTATGCTGGCTTCAGAGATTTTAGCAGCACAAGGTGTAGATAGATTAATCAACATTTTTCTTTCATTCTGAAATCCACTGGTCAAACGCAGGTCTGGGCACACCGTAGTTTTGTTTTTGCCCTCTTTTTCAGAGGGACTGTGAGGTTTGTTGAGATTCTGTGGTGTCTCAAAAACACAATCATTTGGAACACTCCTTCCATTCTGTTTTCTCTGAAGGGTGCTCTTTTCACTCACCAAGAGTTTCTCTGCCCTGCAGACAGCGACAGTATTGTCTACACTGCAAGAAGCAGACAAACCTGCTGTATGGTTCCACAAAATTGATGCCTCCTCTATATTGCTACATTTGTCCACATCAATATGCATTTTTCGTCTTTGATCCAGTGTTTTGGCTGATGCAGAAGCATGGCTATAAGTAGCAGAACTGCACCTCTCCCTGGGAAGGAAGAACAATGCACACATGAAATTCTTCTATAAAACTGTAATGCCCATACAAAACTACAATGAAAAACTGCATATAGAACCCATATAAAACTGCAATGCCCATACAAAAATTTTACTCCACATTTGGAATATTGCAAAAAATACACACTGAAATACTCGAGAGTACTTACCCTTTTTCGTTTTGGATTTCAACGAAATCACACACCAGCTCAGAGGTAACCTTATCAACAACAAAGTACTCATCACTTGTTGAAAATGCTTTATGACGTTCACTACTGAGATGCTGAAACGGATAAAGAAAAAAATTAATACCCTTCATAAAGGCTTACAAACATAATACTTATTTAAATAACGCCTCTTCAGTGGTAAAATACTCACAGCTTTAAGATTTTCGTATTTCACTACACAGCATTCACAGTATCCCCTCTTCTTCTTTTCTTTCAGGTCCAGTGCTCTAAGCTTGGCCTTTAACTGCTTCGTGCAGTTTGCCTCATCTGCTATATGTCTCTGGACTTTGTTGCTGGGTACAAATGAAGAAAACACTGTTTAGAACAACTACTTACATTTCTGCTGTAGGTAGATTTTTACCATCGGGCGTTAATTTTTTCCTTCATTTAACTGGTATATCATGTAGTAAAGATGTAAAACACCATATTAACTAGTGCAGCAAAAAATATTTTGATATTCCAATGCACATTTTAGTAAGTTATCTGGACACAAAAAGATAACATTTGTATGTTGCAATTAAGTCCTAATATACTGTATTAGCCTGCTGTGTGTACAAGCACTAATGTGGAAACTAAGCCTATGTGCATTTATACCAGAGCTTCTTTACCTTAAGACATGGTGGAATATGGAACAAGCTATCCAGCCACGTAATAGAAACAGTTTCTTGAATTATTTTAAGAAATTTCTGGGTGAGATCCTGGGATTAACTAGCTACTAATTACAATCTGTCTCTATGGGTTGAATTGCCTTCTCTCTTTTGTAACATCTCTTATATACTTATGATTTAATTAATTTATTGCTTTTATGCTGTTCTGCAGTGCTCCGTATTATACTGCTTCACTATTACCTACAAGTGTGCAAAAAAATGACTAAAGAAAGTAATGGATACACACCCATGTTCCCTTTGTTTCTTCACGTCTCTGTCTTTGTTGGTCTTCTCTGATTCAAAAGGACAACAAGGGGCAGGAAGGCAAAAGTTGAGCTCTGGCAGGTTTGGTAGTGACAGGTAGATTGGTTTGTAGTGTCTGAATACAAAGATATTTAATACAATACTTAATACAAAAATATTTGTTAAACAATACAAGTCACTCATGGTTATATAAGTCACACTGATCCCTAAATTAAAATGATAAACTTATTTACACTTGGAGACTTCTGTCCACGGTCAGTGTTGGATTTTGGAATGATGTACTAGGACACTGCTCTTTAAGCACTATGTAATTAATGAAGGCAGAAATAACATTAATTCTGCAGTTTATATACATACAGTGCAGTCCGTAAGTATTTGGACAGTGACACAATTTGTGTTGTTTTGTGTAATTGTCCAATCATGAAATGAGGTGGACTATGTATAAAAAGGGCTGTGATTCCTATATGGTTTTCCCAATATAGACGTAAATCCCCTCGAATTAAAGGTGACATTCTGCACCTTAACCTCATAGTCATTGTTTTATTCCAATGTGCTGGAGTACAGAGCCAAAACAGCAAAAATGGTGTCACTGTCCAAAAACTTATGGACTGCACTGTAGAAACATTTTTCTGATCATGTAAAAGAAATGAGTCAAAACGTACAGCCGACACAACTAAGCAGCAATCCTAAAGATGAATCCTAAGCAGCAACTAAGGATTTTATTAGGGAAAAAAATATTTAATTGACCAAGTAAAACTTCTAGATTTTAACTCTGCGATTCTCCATATATGTATTACAACAAAGTGGTGTTCAACCCTGTGATCACATTATCTAATCTATGCAATTAATTAACCACAAATAGTACCAAATGCAATGAAATAACCAAAAAATAAAACCAATATTATATTGTACTTATTCACAATAATCTCATGATCACATATATAGTACAGATTACCCGACTGTAAAGCAAAATAAATTTTGTCTCAATACTTCTAGAGGGCAGCACACACTCGAGTAAAAGCAATAATAATACTCTTGACACTTAATTTTTTATAACTACCACATATCAGCAATATTGAAATCAATTATTTTTTTATATAATTCCACTAATCCATGTATCTCTACCTTAATTTCTAACATTTGGTATGGCCTGCAATTTTAACATAACTAAGGAATATTCGAACACTGAAATCAAAGCAATTTTTTTCTTACCGGCTTTGATCTTCCACTTTTAGAAAAGGTTTTTTGAGATTCCCAACTGAAAGAAAAATATCACAAGCTGAACTAAAACAAAAGCATTACACTAACAAGAAAAATCAAAATATACATTATAAGAGACCATGTAAAATGAGAGCTGTCTTGCATTGAAAGGGAAAGCTGTACATTATACTACATATACACCTAACACCCTGCAATTTACAAGTAAATTAGAATAGCCTTTTAATCCTTTAAATATCAAACTTTAACAGTCAAAGTAATCTAAAAATATTTAAGCAACAAATACATCAGAAATTGCCATCATGCTTTTGTTATTGTTTCTGCGATATTAAGCAGTCTAATCTATTTACCTTTAAGTAAATAATTTTCAGCTTATCCATATCGATCATTTTTAAGATGACATTTTAAAATTAGGAGATGATGTGTTCATTACTTATTTTTCTTTTAGATCAGTTTTACAAAAGTAACTTAAACTGAAAAATGGGGGTTTAAGACTAAAACCTAGGTTAGTCAAGTTGCTACAATTATCAAGAATCTGTAGTTCAGAAATGATACTGAATTTACCTTCATTTTTTTTTACGGAGGTTTTGGCATTTGTAGCGTTGCTGACCTTTTAAAAATGAGAGAAAAGGAATTAATGCTTAAACACATTCTCCTGCCTTCAATCCAGTTTATTAATTTTCATTTGAAGTTCTGTTCTTTTTTATTAAGTTTACTTAAGTAATCTACAATGAAACAATGACATTCACTAACCCCTTTAATCTACAATGTTATAAAAACCAAATGTTTCACAGGAAGAAGAGACACTTACTGTCTTTTTTGCCTTTGAAGTGTGTAAATTAGGTTGGTCAGTAGGCAGATCCTTCTTCTTTTTTTCAATATAAGACAATATATCTGATATTGCAGTCAAGTAGTAATAGTAGGCTCATATTAGCATTTATCTTTCCTACTACACATTTGAAAAACAGAAACCAAACCTCACAAAGCACTTAGTGATGGCCACTTAACACTGTAAGCATTTATTTAGATGTAATGGTGGCCAACTGAAACAAAATTAAAGATTAAAGATTACATTTCAATCATTTATAATTTCCTAAATATTGTAGAAACTAAAGCAGATGATTAGTTAAATTAAGTACTTTAAAGCTCATATGAAATGAAACATAATAACATAATTGTTCAATAATGTATGTAATAAATCTTTAGAAACTAATTTCTTAATGGTGACCCACAAAGCTTTGTAGGCTGGATTGTGGCCCTCTAGGGCATGCAACAAACACAAAAGTAGAATTGTACTTTTGAATATGCAATAAAAAAAAACAACCAATATATAGCACTTTTAAAGGATACCATCAATATACAGTATCTTGACGCCCCAGTCCAAAGCATTTGACAAGATTCTGTTGGTCTGAATTAGTTCCTGGAAAAATGAAAATGGTTTAATTGCAAGAAAAATACTATTTGCTTGGAATTCTATTTTAAAATCTTCAAAGTTCATAAGAAAAACTAGTTAATAAGGAACATTCCCAAATAAGTCTTACATCCAAATAAAACATACTACTTAGTTACATTAAAAGAATGTTTTCATACTTTTTTTTAGCACAAAACTTATATGGCACTGATCACCCTCATATGATATGTACCATGTAAAATATATAAAATGAAAATTATTTCAACATTTTCAGCAGCAAATGTTCTGAAATGTAGAAACACTCTCCCAGAACATATCAACATTCTATATAAAATCCTGCTTACAGTAGATGGAGACACTTGACAGAATATTTACCTGTTCCTTGACAACTTTTTCCACCAGTGATTTCCCTCTGCTTTTTATTGCCTGCACACAAAAAGGGCATTGTAACTATACAATCACAGAAATGCTAAGAGGAATGAAAAAAAATGTTAGGAAAAGTTCATAACAAACTCACGTCTGCAGCATCCTGCGAGCTTACTTTACAGCTTCCTCTTCGGCTGCTGAGGCAAGGCGAGCTGTTCCCAGTGGTATTGGGAGAGCCAGGGCTTGATAAAGGAGAATTTCTTCCAACTGATTTCACAAATTTTGCCTCTTTCTTATTGGAAACAAGATATCGAATGTCCTTGCTGAAGAACCTCTCAATGGTCTAAAATGAAATAAATCTGTTATACATTTGTAACATGTAATGTAGACTTAATAAGAGCAGCATTACCACTTTAAAGCCCAATTTCATGTCTGCTTCCTTACTCAGTTTCTTATAACTGCTAGAGGGAATCAAGTCTTTCTAAGCAACCAGGATAGAGGAAAACTGAAGTGAGAGAACCATTAGGGAATTATGATAATGTGGCAAGAAATCCATTCAGACACATATCAGGTTCAAAGAAATGCCAGGCAAAAATAAATAGTTTTAGCCTCGAAAACAGAAATCTCACTCTTCATTCAAAACATTCAAAATCCTCACAGATAACATAGATCCTACGGCCACTGGCAGAATCAACAGTGCGAATAGGAAAATACAAGTGGTAAGTAAGGGGAAGTACATTTAAAACCAGACTGTCACAACATTTTTATATATAAAGTGTTGTGACAGTCTGGAAAAATCTATCTTGTCAGACTTGGTTACTAAACCAAAACCTTTGCATCTTTCAAAAAACAACAAACAGCCTCCACATATGCAAACATGCTTGTGTCGTTATCATTTCTAATTAACTTCTTCAGTTTTCAAGACAAATACTTCCAAAGTTATAATAACTGTGGTCCTAAAGGTTTAGGTGTGTTCAGTCACAAAAGTAATAACTTTGAAAGTGGTAGAACAAAAACAGCTTAGATCCATTGTTAAATCTGAATAATGCTTAATATTCCATATTTATGCACACGTGGATACACAAAATACAAACAGTATAATGCAAAAATATTCATATTTGTACTTAAAAATATCTTACCCCACCAAGCTTTTGAATGTCTTTCTCCAAGGCCTCAGTGGTCTTACTGAATGGCAGATCTAGATAAAATAGTTTTCCAGCCAGAGGTTTGGTTTTCAGTCCTGAAGACCCATTTGCTGTTTGCAGCACACTTTTTAATGTCACCTTGTTCTGCTCTGTTTTGTCAATCGATTTTGAGTCTGTTAAAGAATGGACACGATATCAGGGGTTTTTCAGGTTGCTCTTGCTCAAACAAAAACATAGGAGAGCAATTTTAAAGATTACACCCACATTTCCCAATAGTAGCAGAATAACAGCATGTCAGAGGGTAAGAAAAGTAGGTGAATGAAATGTAATGACCTGTTTAATACGCTTGCAAAGTTTCAAACATGCCAGATTGGGAAACGTTAGAAAATATTTTCCCATACATAAGAATACTTTTCACATTTCTCCATTTGCACTTTGAATTTGTGGGGATCATATATTTCATCATGCTTTAACAGACTTATAATACATTTTGGAGAATGTGTTTTTCTAATTTAATCAAATCCAACCTAGGACAGTAACAGATTCAAGTTACCATGCAGCTACATCCTTTCGAAAGAATAGCTCTGGGTGAGCATTAGGCTTCAATTTGACTCTACACTAAAAACAAATACTTAAACTTGTTACTCTATGTGTCATGTCTACTTATGTATATTTCTTCATATATTTTCTACAATAACTTGGCCAAAGTATTGATGCAATATCAAACAGTGTGTTTTGGTTAAGGCAAACAAGTTAAACAGAATACTTTCTGGTGATCTGCACAAAAATCTCAATATTCAATGACATTTTTCTCCATGGTATGTTTAAGAAACACTAAAATACCTTGCAACTTGACATTAACATCCTGGGAGGTAACCCTATTTTTCATTTTCAGTATATATTACATTTGGGGGAGTAGGGACACCTTCTATAATGGCTTCTGTTGAAAGAAACATAGAAAAGACATCTAATAATGCACGCATTGTTTCAACACGAGTCGTGAGGATTTTATAAAGCAAATTATGATCCAGAAGTAAAGCAACATAGCTCATCGAAAAACATGAAAAACACCCTGCAAAAACATGTTGTTTAAAAAATTAATCAAACTACTGTGTTAATGTGCTTTTAAAAACTACACATATTTTAGAACAGTAGATCAGTTTAAAATTGCACATTGCATAAAATGCGTAGTCGTTACGAACGTACAGAAACACGTCTGCTTTTTTTAAAAAAAACTACCGACATTTAACTTGGAAGTAGACTGCTACTGTATGAGAGCAAACAACCGTGATAAGCCTGCTGAGAACGAACCGCATACTAACTCTTAATAGCCACGAATTATATCGAAATCAGATTCATAATGATTAATCTTGCCCACCCGTACAAAAATACTTACCGTTATGAACGCTAAAGAATGAAACAATTCAAATTTTCCTTAACACAACTTTCTTCTTTCCCGCTTCGACTAGTTAGTATCCCAGAAACCTCTCCTTCAAACTATCTTCATTTTGGATTCCAGAGTTTCCGTCTCACTTTTTAAAATGCAATTTATGTTTTCTGTTCATTGCGATTACATAAGAGAACTTCTGACAAGTTAAATATAAAATAATTGTATTATTTTTAATTTTGTAAGAATTGTGATACGTAAAAAGTGTTATTTTTGTCGTTCATTTCTTCAAGGTTCGAAAAGTAAGGCATAATTTAAATGTCCGTGTTGTTGAATGTGCTGTGGCCAATGTGAGAATAGACTCATCGGCATAGGTCATGTGATCCAAGCATGTGTGCTGTGAGAACAGCATATGTAACACATAGGTCAGAGCCTTGGAGAGAATCCTGATGAGACATGTTGTATTGAAACCCTAACAGTTAGTTTACCTAAGTGTCTTTAATCTAATTTAATTAATGGTTTCGTTGCCTTTATGCTAACGATGAATAATTCAGATGTGGTACAGTGTCGATCTCGACATTTAACTGATGTGAAGAAAACAGCCAGGAAAAGAGCACAGCTGTACAGTTTGACAGTATCAGTTTTATTTTCTTGCCTTTGAAGAGTTAGCAAGGTAAGTTGTACGTATTGCACTCAGAAACATCCATTTTTTCCAGGGTGTTTTTCAAATAGTTTAAAAAACTTAATGGAGTTGATCTCGTTTAAGGGGAAAAACAATGCTTGTTTTATTCAATTAACAACAGTGGATTTAGAGAATTTCAAATATGCACATTCAGAACAGAGTGACATTGAATTTCACGTCTGAAGGAAAAAGCAGTACAGGTGTATGCCAGCTCGCAGTTTGTTTGTCTTTTGAGGATTGCCGTTGTATTCCTGATTAAGGACAAGAAGATGAGTGGCCAGGGAACAGTGTCTGTGCTCAATGACATCACACCTGTCCAGCAAATGATAGCTTCCTCCTCAGGAGCGCTGCTTACTTCACTGTTTGGTAAGAAACTCTTTCATTATGTGCTAAGAGAAAATGAGTAATAGACTTCCTAATTATTGTTTTGTAGGAGTCTGGCATGAAAATGCTCGAACCAATGTGGGTTTATTACAGCTAAGCCAGTAAACACAGACTGTGCCAAACATTGGCTTGGTTAATGTGGATAGCCAAAAAACATTAGAAACATTTTTGACATCAGAAAATACAGAATGTGATATATGTATTAAATCCTGTCTTACACATTAAGTACTTATTGTAAAACTTGACATCAACAGACAGCTGCCGAACTAAGTACAGCAAGCTGTAAAGCTTCGTTTGAATTCCTTCTGAGTCTTTCTAACTGTTATTTATTTCATTTTTCATTCTAGTTACACCCCTGGATGTGGTGAAAATTAGGCTTCAGGCACAAAGAAGTCCCTTTTGGAAAGGTAAATTTGTTAGCTTTTAAAAACAAAATTCATTATATTTTGAAAGGTAATTCTAATTCTATTTTGTTCCTTTCCTAGGAAAATGTTTTCTGTATTGCAATGGCCTTATGGACCACATTTGTGTGTGTGAAAATGGGAACTCCAAAGCCTGGTACAAGGCCCCTGGACATTTCACAGGCACTTTGGTAATCTGAATGTGTCTTGCTTCCCGTCGTGTTTGTGTAAGGTGTTACACTTATCGAGCGAAATCCCCATCGTCTTAATGAGAATTCACACTGTTGTGCTTAGCACTGCTTCTGTTTTCATTACCTGTAACTCCCTTAATGCTTTCTATACCTTTAGTCTTCTTCTAAATCAATAGGAGGTAGTCTCTTTTCTTAGTATGTGCACTTCAGTTTAAATTAACCAACTGATTCAGAACTGTCGAGAATGGTCTTAATTGAGCCAACTAATAATTAAATGATAGTAGTTCAAGTAGGTTGCTGCGTCAGCATGCGTAGGCTGCAAAGGAACAAGTAAAGGTTTATTCCATGCTGAAAAGAGAAGAAAAGAAACATAACGTTTCGGCTGTGGAGCCTTCTTCGGGTGCCGAAAAGGTTGTGTTTCTTTTCTTCTCTTTTCAGCATGGAATAACCCTTAATTGTTCCAATAATTGAATGGTTACAAGTAAATAAATGGCCAATGTTATAGCCTAAGCTAAGTTACGGAGAGCTAAGATGGAACAAAATCCAAAACATTTGGCTCAAAATGAAAGTGTTTCTTAAGGCTGTTCAGTGTTCTGTGTACTTTCTATTATAAAACTGTCATGTTTTGACGTGATTTTTTATTTTATTTTAGGATGCATTTATTAAAATCATTCAAAAAGAAGGAATAAAGTCATTATGGAGTGGGCTTCCTCCAACGCTGTAAGTTTGAAACAGTACAAGTGTATGCATACACAGATAGTTGGTGTATTTTGTATTTATAATGGCTAATAAAAAAAACTTGTGCTATACATTAGAATATCTCATACGTTAGTGTTACATTATACGGATTTGATACACCCTTAATGTACTGTATTGTGGAGTGAGACTATTCAGTACCTTACATATAGTCAGGAAAATTTAAAAAAACCTCAGGAAAATCTAAAGTTTGTTTTTAATGCCTTTCAGTATATATGTACATGTGCAAAATGCATCTAATGCTAGTTGACTTCTTCATGCAATTGTTTCGCAAAACAAAGATGGTGGAGTACTGAAATGTAAAATTAATTTAAAGGTCATTCTTGCCTTCTGCCATAAGACTGTACAACGCATACATTTTGCATCTGGGCAGAGGCAACATTGACATAACAATATATGCCAGGGACTTGTGCAATTTATATTTATATTTATATTGTGCAATACAACTTTTGTATACTGTTCTGATTTGTTCTTTGTATGTCCTGGACTGTGAGTAACTCTTCTAAGTGCACTTCTCACTGACTGTGCTGATTGGATTGTATGTATTGTATTATTATTGTATCATTCGTTACACTGTGCTGTGTTGACTGTGTTAAGCTGTTGTTGCACTGCAATTTTTTGTCACGTGATCAGTGAAGTTTCTAATAAAAACCTGAGCATATTCCCATTCACACCAGAGGGCGCTGTATTGGCACACCATAACATCAATTTGCATTTATTAAGGCTTGTGTGTCTGGGCCAGTTAGTGCCCTCTGGTGTTTTTTTGTCATTGTCCAAATGCAATTTTTTTTTTTCCAGAGTTATGGCTGTACCTGCTACTGTTATATATTTCACTTGCTATGACCAGCTCTGTGCTATTCTGAAGTACAGGATGGGCAGCGATTCTAATGAAGCACCACTGCTGGCAGGGGCTTTGGCTAGAGGTGAGGTGTTTCATTAAAAAGCAGCATCAGTACCTTTAGATCTTCTTTAAGGTGGTTAACAGGTGATTTAATCAAAGGGGTATAAAAGTATTAATGTTACCAATTAAAAATAAATGACTCTTTTAAAATAAATTGAATCTTTAACATAAGAAAACATTTTTTTCCTTCCATTTCTGTCCTCATACTGAATTTCTTCCCCCTTTCCTAAGATTAGAAGCAGATCGGCTTAAATTCTCTTTTGTGAAAGACACCAACAAAGCCGAAGACCAGATATTAATCTAAAAATAGAACTAGAGAATTGTGATTGTGTTGGCAAGAGATGTCTCTGACTACTAGGAGTATAAGACAGCATTCACTGAGCTTCCTTTTCCTCTCTTGGATTAATGAGTGCACTGTTAAAATGCTTTTTTTTTACATATAGCAGACTAGGGACTCTTCCAGAGATGGGTGGCTTTATGATTAGGAGTGTTTAAATCTGATTGGATGTTTTTAACCCAGTTCTTGCTGATTTATAGTAAAATGGTGAGTTATTGAGCGAAATGTCTTTTTTTTTTGTTAGTGGGGTCTGTCACTGTGATCAGTCCGCTGGAGCTAATACGGACAAAGATGCAGTCCCAGAAGCTGTCGTATCGGGAGCTGAACACCTTTATCCGGACATCCGTGGCAGCTGATGGCTGGCTGTCTCTGTGGAGGGGCTTGGGCCCCACTCTACTCAGAGATGTGCCTTTCTCAGGTAGGTCAGCAAACAGGCTGTCTTATAACACCTCCAGGAGAATAAACACCTACAGTACAGCTGACTCCAGGAATCGGGGCCCCATAGCTGCTCTCCCATTTCTCATTTCATCGGGGATGTTAGTGGATGGTACATTGGTTCCACACATTGAATGGGTGTGAAAACATATGGGTGTGATTTCTTATACTTGTAACATTTTATTTTTCTGAGTTTTTGAGTTGTTTTAGTTGGTTCGTAAACTTCAATCATTTCATTTCAGAGGAGTTCTAGAGAGAAAATGAAAGTCGATGGGATGGTCTGACGAAGATAAAAATGTTTGTTTGTTTTGTGTGCATGGGCCTGTTTTCCTATTAGTGTGGAGGCAAATCTCCACCAGCTTACCACTTTACAGATAAGAGAGGGGATAATGTAAAAGATGTTATCTTTATGGAAGCTGATATATTTTTAATTTAAAAGTGACTGAAATCTTTGGTTTGGGGCTGTTATTGCACGAATATGTTTATTTCCACAAGTCGTGGCTGTGAGTGCATTTAGCTGTGTTTTTACTGCCCACACAGCAATGTACTGGTATAACTATGAGCTTGGAAAGAAGTGGCTCTGTGAGAAGAATGATGCCAGAGAACCAACATTCATGATCACTTTCACCTCAGGAGCAGTGTCTGGGTCTGTAAGTAGACAGCTCATTGCTTTGAATTTCCTTAGTTTGATAAACCAGTCAATCATATATTAGCTTATATTGGTGTCTGGGGTGTGAAAGATGTTTATGCAGAATCTCAGATGCGTAGCTCTAATAAGGAAAACCACTGCATGATTTTTTCCACCCCAAATTAATGTTGAACCAGTCTAATTCTTGAAGGACAACACTTCTCTGCAATAGAAATGACTTAACCACAATTTCATCTACTGGACAATGTTTTTTTTTTCAGCATGAGACAAGCAAATAAAATTATTTGATGTGAAAAGTTAAATTACATTTATGTCAGAGCCAGTTTTTCCTGTTACCTGCATTGCATAAGTGGCTGTGTGCAGACAATATGTGATTCCATTTTTTTTTTTAACCTGGGTTATTTATTGGTGTAAAGGGCTGAAAGCACAATCCCTCCAAGCTGATTGGTGAAAGAGACAAATTGAGCTCTCATTACTCCGCAGCACTCTTGGATGTAACTCGTTGATGTGTGCAGTCTTGTGGTCGTGTCTATGAAACAGATCTCAAATTTTAGATAAATACTGGTTTGCAGTAACCAGAATGGCCAGTTACAATATAATAAAAGCCTTTAAAGTTTGTTTTTTTTCCTCGCTTCTCCAGATTGCTTCAATAATAACTTTACCGTTCGATGTGGTAAAGACACGGAGACAAATTGAACTTGGGGAGCTTGAGGCTTTGAACTGTAAGTATTAAGCGATAAACAGATTTGTTTCTGTATCGTTCCTTAATCTTGTTTTTCTCAGTGTAGTAAAACATAATGTATAATAATAATGATGTTTCTTTATTAGCCCTATACAATTTCTTGCATTAGGAATTCGTCTTTTCGCATACCCCAGCTTTTCTCCATGGTGACACAGACACACAGACAGGGAGAGAAGCTTGTGGTCAGAGCGCAGGGTCTGCCATTGTACGGCGCCCCTGGAGCAGTTAGGGTTAAGGGCCTTGCTCAGGGGCCCAATGGAGTAGGATTCCTCTGCCGGCCGCGGGATTTGAACCGGCAACCTTCCAGTAACAGGCGCAGATCCTTAGCCACAGAGCCACCGCTCCACCCAGTAGTGGCATGCTATTAAATGTGCAGAGGAATTTTTGATTCTGACAAAGTGATGAGTGACCTTTTCTCACAGACTGCATCTCTATGTTCTAGTATCTCCTCGGGCCTCGTCCTCCACCATGCACGTGATGAGAAGGATTGTGGCTGAAAATGGTGTTAGAGGATTATTCGCAGGTACCCCTGATTTAGTGTTCTGCGTTATTTCTCGGCTTTAATCTTTGTGTTAGATTTATGTCAACTGTAATGTCGTAAACATGTCTTCAGCTGGGCTCTTCTACAAAAAAAAAAGGTGCAGCCATTAAAATCATCACATTTAATCTCTTACACTTTCTCAAAGCATTGTAATAAAATAACAAGTAATAGGTTTACTCCCTGCTGAAAAGAGAAGAAGGAAACACGACGTTTCGGCCGTGGAGCCTTCTTCAGGTGTGGTTCAGGTGTGTTGACACCTGAAGAAGGCTCCACGGCCGAAACGTCGTGTTTCCTTCTTCTCTTTTCAGCATGGAATAAACCTATTACTTGTTCCTCCGCAGCCTATGCATGCAGATGCGGCTACCCACCTGAACTATTGTAATAAAATAGCTATTTAGATCTGTCTTTAGTTTCTCCCATCAGCAGATTTCATGCAACACCTCACAGCCACCACTAGATGGCAAACTATTACTGATGCCAAACAATCTGAAGGCCGAGCAAAAACAGAATACGTGCACAGTGATAATCCTAGCTGAACTTCTGAATTTGAACTTGAATTTATGAAGAAAACCCAGTTAATACTGTTGTATTATATGTTGTAAATAGTTAACTAATGTATGCATTCTGCTTTGTCTCTCAAATGATGCAGGATTCCTTCCCCGGTTGATCAAAGTGGCCCCAGCTTGTGCTATAATGATCAGCACTTATGAGTTTGGGAAGGCTTTCTTCCACAGGCGGAATCGAGAGAGACAGATGGTGGCACTTCAGAATGGGCCCTGAGCAAACAGCCTTACTCCAGTACTGTATATATGTGCCTATCACAGTTCCATAAAGTGCATATCTGGTTTTCAGATTCTGAATTGCATAATGAGACTGAGCATTTGCAGGTTTGGACATAGATATTGCCTGTTCAAAACATTAACGTAATTATGCAGTTTTTTCAAAGTATGGATTGTTGTAAAGTAAAATAATTTCTGGGCTTTCAGGATGTCTTCAAGGCCCGCAAAATTCAATTTAGAAAGATCTAGATGTTAAATGTGTACACAGGCAATACATCTGGCTAAGTAAGATGAGGTATAAATATTTCATTCATAACCAAAACAAACTATATTGCATCAAATGTTGCTCACTGATCGAAAATATTGTAATATTCTGATTGCGTTTAATTATCATTGATCCTCCACAGAGCAAAACTAACCTCTAAAATAGTTTAAATTGCATTTTCAGTGTTAATTTAATCTTGTTTCCCAATAAAATATTTTTTTATTGACAACTGAAAGAAATATATTTCTATGTGGATGATTTATTTTCTAATTTAAATAACGCAGGATCAGGTGTTCACAAGCTTAAATATTTATATATTTTTTAAAACTGGAATATTATTCAGAAAGTAGACTGCAGATTAAGTTCCCTGCTATTTGTTTGGAATACTGTATGTCTACAGGATGTCTCATGTAGGTTCTCGAGCCATAGTTGAGGGAATCTGGTACTATAAAACAGCAGTAGTGATGAGTGTGCTGGACAAAATGTGAGTGCATCTGTTGCAGATTGGAGGAGCCAAATTTTCAGCATTCTGTACAAAACCCATAGAGAAGTAAAATCCACATTGAAATCCTGTTTGATTCAGAACCATACACACCTCTGGGAAAATTGGAGTAGAGTTTGTGCACTGGTATTCTTTCCTTTCCCTTAAGCAAAGCATAAAAAGCCTTGCTTTGTAAAAATGACAAAAGCAGTCCAGGACAGTGGGGTTGTATGTTTCCTGGCTCAGGCTCTATACTAGATTCCAAAATGGCAAGCATACCAAGCTTAAAATGCCACACTGGGGATGAATGAAGTATTTGAATTGAATGGTAGGACTCTTCTGCTGGGGTTAGTCACTTACTCATTGGGTTCCATTACTATCCAAATGTGGCAAACTAGAGATCTAGAGTAGAGTCTGGCGTTTATGCTTGTATTGGATGGGCAATACAGTACCTCATCTTGCACACCAAAATAGTGGACGTCTAAAACATAAGGCAAAGGGAAGCACAACTATCGCATATTAACCCCCACTCTTGATATGAATAAGCAGATGTTTCTCACAAATTTGGCCATCTGTGCAATGATAAGTCCTTGCAATTTAAGCACATTACAGCTATAAAAAGTCATCTCTTTACACAATGTATCTCACTTTGTTAATGCTGCCATGCATTCTGGCATAAGTGCTAGGTATCGGCTATTTCTTTCTCAGGTGCTGAATATGTCCCCCTTTCAAAGATTTTTAATTTTGTTTTATACTTTCAAAGAGGATCACCCTTTATAGCACTTTATTGCCCTTTTCAATAAAAGTTAAAACTGTCAATCCTTTATTTAGCTTGTACAAATGTGTGCCAAACGTTGTTTTAAAATTATAAAAAGCAGTGGATTTATATTGTCTTTCTTCATCATGTAGTGTTTTCACTTTTCATGTTGCATAACTCTGCCACACATTTTGAAAGGTGTACCAATGTGATCTGTGAACAAGATCACAATACAGACATTTCAAATAAAAATAATTTTAAGGAAAATGTGATTGTTGGTCCATTAATTAATACCTATGAGTAGTAATTCCACTTTCTAGATGAGAATAGTACTGTCTAGGGGTGGTTTGGTTAGCTTAAGGGCAATATAGGTGCCTTTTTCTCATCACTTATCAAAGAACCTGAGAAAATAGTTCAATTATTTCACTTAAGCTATCAGCAGACTTTGGTATACAGGAGCTGAACTGCAATGAATATCAGAGTTTTATATAGTCCACATGTACTACATCTAGATAGTTGTCGTGGCTGCTGTGATTAATGGAGCTTGTGTTATACATGACATTACATATGCAATGACAAAGTATGTACCATATGCACCAGTGCAGTTTTTTTAATTTGTAAGGACTGCTTTTGGTGTGCATTCTATTT